TATTGACCTGGGAGGTGGTCACAGTGCTCTGCCCAGAGCTCGGTTACCCTGGCATTCCAGTCATTCTCCCTCCTCCAAATGGAGCTACACTCTCCACACTGGGCTGTTCGGGTTTGAGGAGAGGCTATTCTTTTCCTCCTTCCTTCTGCCGTACATCTTTTCATGTTGTCGTACTAACAGCAAGCTCCTTAGTCTTTGCCATTGTGACAGTCATTTGATGCTTGAATAGCTGTTCAGCTGGAGTCTGTGAGGAGATGATCGCCAGAGGATCCTGGACAGCCTCTTGCTCCACCACTGATTCTTATTTTGTTTTATTGTATTTCTGAGGGATCAAATCCAGGGCTTCTTAAACACTGGAAAACACTGTTTTAGTTTCATTTCTGAAAAGGCAAACACAAAGTGAATGGGAAAGATTTTCTTTCTTTTTTTTTTTTTTTACCTAACAGATTGGTAAAAAGTAAAACATTGGATGTTACTATATTGTTTACAGTGTGGGAGGCTTTCTCACACTGATCTATGTCATTAGCAGGAGAAGGAATGGGAACAACCTCTTTGAAGAATATTTTGGTAGCATCTATCAAAAAGTTAAACGCACATTTTCTTGCATTCAGCAACCATTTTTAAAAATCTAATCTACAAATATACCCATACATGTTCATTACATATGGCAAGGATATTTATTGCAGCTTTATTTGTAATAGGAGAATATTTGAAACAAAACAAACCTCTGTCAATAGGGAACTGTATAAATAATATGTAGCACAATTCTACAACAGACTGTTGCGCCATTACTATAAAGAATGAGCTATTCTCTGCAGTTAGAATTTCAAAGACATATTAGGACAAAAACCTGCATAAAGTGTAGGTTATGTAATAGGCTTCCCTTAGTACTGAAGCAGTAAACATGTGGATGACTATGTTTGTATGTGCATAGACGGTCTCTAATAGGTTCTCAAGACTGTGACACTAATGATTCTTTAGGAACAGAAGAGGAATCTTTTGAACACCAGGAATTTTGTGTTGTGTGCCTATATTAATTAATCAAATTTATTTTCTTAAAAATTGAACTCACCCAGGAACAAATCAACTGGCAGAATGCCGCAGGGTGAAGTGCATCATTTCAGACCTCTACACTGTCCCTCCTTAGTTCAAGTGGCCTTTCCTGTATATATCTCCAACTCACATCTGCATTGGGAAACCTCCTCGGACAGCCCCAGCCTCAGTGGCATGGACTGTATCTGCCCCATCTGACCAAAATCTCACAGCCCCCTATGGGCCTCAAACTCAGAACTTGGCCCACTTGATGGTGGCTGTCGGCCTACGGTAGGTTTTTCTTTTTCTGGCTTGAGGTCCTTGGTGGAAGAAGCAGCTCACAGCAGACGGACGGTCCTGGTGCCCAGCACAGTACCTGGCACAAAGTGGGCTGCAACAGAAGTCTCGGTTGGCTGCCCGGATGGATGCCAGGACAGTGCTTCTAGAGTGCTGGGGCACCAGGGAGCTTTTGTTTGTTTTGTTCTCTGCTTTAATCTTAGCGTGCGCAACAGGGCTCGGCATACAATAGGTAGTCAATATTTGTAGATGAATAATGAATGACACCTAGAGAGAGAGGAGAGAGCAGGAGAAGCAATTAGCTGGCAGAAAGATGTTTGAACAAGGTGGGGCAAGGACTACACAGAGCAGGAGCTACAGGAAGGCCAACAAAGGACACCAGAGAAAGAGCTGCCTTCTGGTCTACAAGAATGATCTGGTGAAATCACTGTACAACCAAAATGGAAATTACACTTCTAGATATTTCTCCCAAGAAATAAAAACATATCTCATTGCAAAAATGTGTATGTGCACATTCAGAGAAGCATTACATATAATAGTCAGAAAGTAGAAATAGGTCAAGTGTCTTTCAGCTGACTAATAAACAATGTAGATATGGCTTATCTACAATGGAATAGTATTTTCTGGCAGTAAGAAAGGGAAGAAGTACTGGTCAGGCCACAATAAGACCAACCTGACAGCACGCTAAGCAACAGAAGCCAAAACCAAAGGCTACCTATTATTTGACACCATTCATAGGAGATGTTCAGAACAAGGATTTGTGGGTGCCAGGGCTAGGGGAGGGGGATGGAGGAAAATGGGGGGGTGACTGCTAAGGGTTGAAGTGTTTCTTTTTTTTTAAATATTTATTTATTTTTATTTATTACATTTATTTATTGTGTGTGTGTGTGGCCAGCTCAGCCCACCAGGGGGTAGGGCTGGCTGGCATGTGGTGCTGGGGATCGAACCATGGTCCCTGTGCTTTGCCAAGCTTGTTTCAAGTAGGTGCTTTAGACCACTGAGCCATCTCTCTAGCCCCGAAGTGTTTCTTTTGGGGGCCATAAAGATGTTCTTTTTTTTCAGTACCAGGGATTGAACTCAAGACCCTGCATTTGCCAGACAAGCACTTATTCTACTGAGCTATCTCCCCGGGCCATAAAGATGTTCTGAAATTAACTGTGATCATGGTACATCTCTTGGGCTACCCTAAACACCAGCAGATCAGACACTTTATGTAGGCGCATTACGACATCTGTTAATTCTCAATCAAGCTGTTATTTACAAAGTAAACACGGCCTGCATTTTCTGGAGGCACGAAGCAAGAATCATGGCAGCCTGGCCCATCCTGCATCCGCTCTGAGCCCAGGGAAGGTGTTCTTATTCTACCTGTGAAGCCAGGGGAGGGTGCTGTCAGCAGGTGCCAAGGACCCTGGTTCCAGAAGTGCCCCCACCCCATCCTCAGGGCCAGGTGAGGGCGTGCTGCAGCTAACTTCCTGGAGTGGTAAGGGCTGTGGCAGTGACTGGTTTTTTTTTGTCGCAAAAGCTGGGGGGTACTTGTGGGTGCTAGCATTTGGCACCCAACTCCTTTGCTAGAGTATTAGACGCTCGTCATAGCTGCTTACCAGGGATGTCCCTTGACATAATTCAAGGGCCTGGATCCAACAGGACCTTGGGGTGTCCCCAGGTTCTTCACAGAGCTGCAGGAAGGGCTTGCTCCAAGGGCCTGGCCCTGCCTGTGAGCTGCCCTGTCTACTCCAGCTGGCTGAGAACCCAGCCAGCTTGGCACGGAATGAGACTGAGGGGCCTCTGGGTCCCCCTTAGCCTCTGTGATTCTGAGGTTCCTTTGCCAGGACTGTGTGACATCAGTAGGCAGTAGACAGTGACAAATGCCCAACAGCCTATGGAAGTGGCAAAAACAAATTTGGGCTGGGAACAGCTGTAACTACAGAGAGAAACCCATAGTACATTTCCAAATATGACCTTCTGCTCCCCCGAACAGGACGGGAAGGAAGGAGAGACCCCCGCAATCTTGGCGCCAACAGGGCATCAGGAAAAACGCTGTGTAGTCAGGCTGAAAATTAAACAGATGTGAGTTTCTTTAATTTAAAGGCTTAATTATTCTGACGTTTTCCATAACTTAATCTGGGCCATCACTTCAGCTTTAATTATGCATAATGAAATGGATTATTTACAGTAACTAATATGACAGGAAAAACCGAGGGGTGAAAATCGGTAACTTGGCAACTGTTGTGTATTCGCCTGGATTCAGCCTGCGTGCAAGTGACTCCCTACTGAGCCTCAACCCTTGCACAATCCTGGGGTGACTACCAGGAAAGCACGGTGCTGATGGGGGACGTGCTGTGCGCCGGCCCCTGGCACCTCGTTATCCCTTTGCACTGCTCACAGTACTACCTCACACAGGCCTTATTTTCCCTGATTTGTAGAGGGGATTAGAACCAAAAGGCTGGGTCATTTGCCTGAGGACACGCAGCAAGACTGCTTTGCCCATCCTCCCACTCCAGACAGCAGCCTGTAGGTGTTCGTGCCAAATCTTGCTGACCTCCCTGCTTTTTACAGCACAAGTCCACTTTCCCTAAGGGAAAGTCTGCTTGCTATTTTGAGCAGGGAAGCGGATAATCAAGATTGTCCTTTGGGAAACTACCTGGTGATCCATTGGAGGCTGTGGAGAGAGTTCGGGTTATGGGCAAGGACCTCAGACTTGTATGGTGGTGGCAGTCTCCTCTGCCTCCTCTGTGTTTACTCTGAGGTGGAAGGAGGAGAGGCAAAGTGACAGGGGCAGTGGCTTAGAAGCTCTGTGGCTGGGTCTCTCTGTCCCTTACAGCTCCTAGTCTCTTGCTGACTGATTGGCAGATGCCGCGTGCTGGTCACTGTAGGGCAGGAGCACCTCCGGGGTCCGCTCCCAGCTCACATGCCTTCTGGGAGGGTCCAGCTCAGTGGCCCCACAATCCTTTTCTGCCCCCAGACTTGGGCTGCTGGGGACCTTGTCCCCGTCTCTCCCACATAAGGAAGGGAAGAGACATTTCATAGGAAGCTTTCCTGCCACCTCCCTCAGCCATTGCCTTCTGTCTGAGAAGAGACTGGAGCCCAGATGCTGTTGGGTTACCTGTCACCTTGTGTCCTGGCCCAGAGCTGCGTGGGCATAAAGGCCATGTGGCCCCCCCCCACACTTTGTGAGGGCCTGGAGGGGCCTTGGTGATAGATGGGGTCAAAGGCAGCATCCACCACCACCGTCCTCTGTGTCCCACCCTGGGCTCCTCCCTTGGGCTGAGGTCCAGCGAGCTCCCAAGACTGAAGCTATTCCTCAATTCAGAATAGCAGAAAAATCCACCCATCTGGCCCTGCATGTGGGAAGGACAAGTATGGTAGGAGGGCAGCTGTGACTCCAAGGGGCATTGCATGGGTGTGGTTAGCTTTCACAGTCTTCTTGAGCCTCAGCTCTTTCTCTGCTCTTGCGGCTTCTGTGCTGGAGCTCTCTGTGGAGACCCACTGTGGGTGAGGACCTCCAGGACAGACACTGACTGGGCTGCTGGGCTGGCCTCTCAGGGGTCATGCAGTTGCAGAAGCAGCTGACTGAAGAACAATGATCTGGCCCTGTTTAGAGTCTCCCATAGCTACCAGTGAAACCTCTGTTTCTTTCTCGGGTGGCAACAAAGCCAGGAGGGGAAGCCTGCAGTGCCTGGAAAAAACTCTGAGTCTGCGCTGCATCCAGGTCCTGGCGCAATGTGCTGAAGCCCACACAGGCTCGAGCCATCAGCTATGCAGGAAGCAGTCATCCTGCTGCTGCTCCTAGAGGCCGCGTCAGGTAGGAACTCCTGTTGGCTTTGCAGCCTGACTCGGCCTACTTCCTTTGCAGCTTTCCATTGTGTGATGAAGTCCTCAGAGAGGAGACTGCCTCGGGGAGGCCTCGCTCTGTGATAGACTTGTCTGTGAGGATGGGTGAATTACAGCATCTCCAGAGAGGCCTGGGGGATGGCCTAGTGGTGTCCTGGACAGGAGAGACCCTGAGAGGGTCACCATGGAGTCTGTGTTTGACCCATGGACTCCTCTCTCTCTCTTATGTTACTGGCCTGGCTGGAAGTCTTGAGACTGGATATGGGGAGAGTAAATTCCGGGGCAGAGCTCTGTGTGTGTGTGTGTGTGTGTGTGTGTGTGTGTGTGTGTGTGGTCAGTCTTTGTGGAGACGATGGTTCTTCTGTAGGGACAACTTGAGACTGGTCAGGGATCATCTTCAAATGGTGCAAAGAACTTGCCTTCTAATAGAAGGGCCAAAGAAATAGCCCGGGTTGCTTCTCTCCGTCTTTCTCATTCAAGAGCTTGCAGCATCTTGGGTGATCTTTTAAATGCTGTCAACTTGGCTTATTGAAACTGAGCCTTTTAAATTAAATTTTATTTTTGAATAGGGAGTATATGCATAATGTATGGAATTCAATCATGTTAATTTGCAGATTAATTTAGGGATAATTTACATCTTTGATGGGTTGTATAGTAAAATTCTTAGGGGAGTGCTGGAACATAGTAAGTGTTAGTAGTTATTATTTATAATGTTGAATCTTCATACTTAAGGAACTGTATGCTAGATATTATACTGGCTTAAGTTTTCACATATTTTCCTCAGAATTATTTTAAAGTTTCCTTCATATAGACATTGCATATTCTGAGCATGGTGATTTCTAGTTCTTTCTTTTCTTTTTTATGTTTATAGGTGGAATCTTTTCTTTCCTTACATCTTTTAATGTACTTTTCTATGATATATGGAAGTCTGTTAATGAATTATTTTACTATTTATAATCCTTTTACTGTTGATTCTCATGCTTTTCTAGATTTAAAAAGAATGAATATTTATATTTTTCCCTTGCTTTTTTTATATGTCCTATTTTCTTCTCTTCTCCAAAGGCCATGTCTCCAAACCATTGCTAAATAATGGTAAGAGTTTACATTCCTGTCTGATTCCCCAGTAAGCATAATGCTAGCTTTTGGGATGAAGTAGAAATGTTTCATATGTTAAGGAGAAAGCTTTTATTCTTATTCTATTTGGGATATCTCTAAATCAAAATGGATTTTTAAGTCAAATGCTTTTCAAGATCTATGGAAATGACAATTTGGTTTTCCACTTTGATCTGCTAAGAAGAAAAGTCAACAGCTGGCTTCCCCATGTCGAGCCCTTCTTCGTCTTGGACTTTGAGACTCTGCAGAAGCAAGAGGAACAGAAAATGACCAGCAGGCCCTACTCCATCTTGACTCTAACTTAAGTAAACATTTGTGTTTTCCCCAGAAAGGCTTTAAGGGCCATTATCATTCGTGATAAGAGGTGACATTTATTGTCACCGGGGAAAAGGGGAGAGGAAGAAGAACCCAGTGCTCAAATTTGAACCTATCACCCGGAACTTTATCACCAGTCCTATGAAAGGAATGAATTACAAAGGTTCCCAAGCAATAGTTGATGTTTCTTCTAAATAAGGGTGTAGGAGTCCCTCCTTCCCCAAAGACCGTACACTTGTCCATGCTTTTACTTCCATGGATCAAATCCTAGTTTTTACAAGAGCTCCTGTGACACATCCAATTTCTTTTTCACCCTCTGTGGGTCTGAGAACCTGACTGTGACCTTTCGCCACCCAGGGTTGCCTAGGACACTGGGAAGTGGCAGGCAGGCCAGCACCTGCTTTCGGCATTCGTGCAGTGAGCATCGCCAACAACTGTCCCATCACAGCCACACACGCAGCCTTCTTTGCACCGGGGACTGTGCTTCCTTGAAGCCCCTCCCGAGGGGTCCCTGGCTTGCTCGTGGTGAGCCTTCTTCCTGCTCCTGTAAGCTTCCTTTCCCTGCACTGAGAGCGTGGGAAGCTAGGTCCTAACAGCACGAGGAGGTAGTGACACTCCTCAGTTCTTCGTGTCTTCAGTGAATGGCGTCAGTTAAGGCCTATAGGTCATCATACGTGGTAAAGGTAGAGACACTGCAGTGCTAGATTTTCAGAGCAACAGAATACACCTTCAAGTTGAGGGCCAGCAAGTGCCAAGGCGGCTATTGTGCCCATAAGGCCCAGGCTCTGTTTCTATTATTGCATGGATCTTCCAGGAATATAACTTCCTTCCTCTAAAATCATTCTGATTCTTTTGTAAGGAAAATGGGCTCTTTCCACCTCGGAGGGAAAACAGTTCCTGTTTCCTCCCTAGGTATCCTGTTTACCTGCTAATGTCTACCTTTCTGCCCAATAGAAGTACTAGGTGCCAAAGGCTTGCTTAACAGGTAGGATGGGTTACCATTCTGTAAATCTTTCAAATATCTGTCAATGTCTTCAACTAGGAAGTCAATCCTGTAACATCAGGCTTTCTGTCTCCTGTTGCTCTGTGGGCTGAGTGCCCCAAACAGAGGGCATTCATAAATATTGGTTGCTTTTGTTAACCATCATCCCATCTAAGCCTGGCACGTGTATGATTCCTTTCTGCGTTTACTGATTCTACCCTCACAGCTTTAGATCTTCTGACTACTTCATATTGACATTTAAATTAGTTTCTGTCCCTTTCATCTGCCATTAAGATGAGGAAAATTGAAAGTTTCTCTTTGCAAAGCCAGTCTGCCATTCTGGTAATGGCTCACAAAGGGCCCTGAAGAACATAACTAAACAGAACCCTCAACTAGACCTGTGGGACAGAGTGGAGACAAAACTGTTTTCAGACTGTGAGCACCAAAGACCGTGTGTGTTTCCCAGAAGATGAAGGACCCAGCCTCTTAACATAGGTCTCTTAGTACATTTGAACCCACTGCACACAGAAGCTACCTGCATTTTGAGAAAGCCTCCAGACAGCTAGCTTTTGCACTGGACTCAGATAATGACCAGTTCAGTGAGAGAGGAGCTCTGTATCACTCATTGTCATATCACTGGGACAAAATATCACAGAGGAGAGGTTTATTTCTATTCACAGTTTCAGGGGTCTCAGTCCATGGTTGGCCAGCTCCATGGTGGATGGGCCCAGCAGAGGAAAACTGCTCACATCATGGTATCCAGGAAGCTGAGAGAGAAGGGAGGAGCCAGGGATAATAATATACCTTTCAGATCACATTCCCAGGAACACCGTTGTCTCAATTTTTTGTTGTTATTGTTGCTAGGACAAAATACCCAACACTCAAAATGAAGGAAGGAAAGTTTTATTTAGCTCACAGTTAGTGTAGGTTTCAGTCCATACTCAGATGGCTCCAAGGCAGAGTTGCTTGTGGAAGAGAGCAGCCATTCATGGTGGTGGAAGACAGCAGAGAGCTAAGGGAGGAGCAGCGGCTGTGGCAGCCAGCAAGCTCCTCTCCCTCCCTTACATTGTATTCAGGCTATCTGCCCTTAGGGCAGGTGTAGCACTCACACCCATAATCCCAGAATTAGATCATGAATTAACTGTAAACTCTAGAAGACTGCTTCAATGACTGCATGAGGCTTTTTTTTGGGGGGGGGGAATGGGGAAACAACTATACACAAACCATAACACCACTTCTTCTGACTAGGTTCTACCTCTGAATATGAGATTTTGGGGGGGGGGGACATTTTAGATCTAAGCCATAACATTCCATCTCTAACCCCAAAAAGGCTCATATCCATCTCATGAAAAATGCTGCTAGTCCATCTCTAGAAGTCAGTAAAAGTCATAACAATTTCAGCACTGCAGAATTGTCCAAGTCTAAAATTTCCTCTAATACTGAAGGCAAACTCTTAGTTGTGAGGTCCTGTAAAAGTCAAAAAGAAAGTTAAACACTTCCAACATACAATGGCATAGTTTAAATCCCCCTATTCCTTGAAAAAAAAAAAAAAAAAAAAAAAAGTCTAGTGGAACACACAAAAGTGAGACCAAAGCAAGACCAGTACCTTACAGGGCAAACATTAAACCCTATGCCTATGTCCAGCATCGTACGCATACACCCAACACAGAATTAGTACTCAACAGAGGCAGCATGGTTGCAGTAAATTCAGTTCTAAAGGGCTTGGGTGGCCCTCCTATTATGACATTGCCAGTTGTTTCACTCTATATGACTCTCTCCTGAGCATGCTCCACTCACTATTTGCTGCTTCTCTTAGCAGGTTTCCCATATTTCTGGCTTCTCTGACTTCCTAAAGCCTTCACGGTATCTTCAGCTTCACTCATACAACTTCACATACTTCCCTCTCAGGGGAACACTGCCTGACCTCTATGGGCTTCCTTTGAAATCTTGGTGGAAGTCTTTCTGACCTCATGACTCTTGCCTTTTTCATGCTTGAAAAACAAACAATGTAGATGACATCAAGGTCTACTGTCAGCATAAGCAGTATCCAGCCTCTCTTGGGCCATGGCTGCAGTGACTTTTGAGTGCCCAGATGACTGATTATGGTGAAATGAATCCCAGAGAACCTATTCCATGGGCAACCCTTCTGGAGCAGAGGGCCAGGGGTTTTCTTCACAAATGAAAGACTGACACTTTTGCATTCGTGAAGCTACAATTTGTAGGGTTTTGCTGATTTCTGAGGTGCCCTCAAAGCATCATTCTTCTTGTTTTGTAAAAAGTACTTGGCTTTTTTAATGTTAATCTTCTCATCAACCATGTTCTCTTTTGCCTCAACTTTGTAGGTACTTTTCTAGGGAAATTGTAAACTCTTCATATTCTACTCTGCATTTTGCTTTCTATTCTTGCTGTATATCCAACTAAAAGCAGTCAACAGAAGCCATGCAAAAGCCTGAATACTGGGATGCTTTGAAATTTCCTCCATCAGAGTAATTAATCAACTGCTTTCTCTCTCTCTCTCTCTCTCTCTCTCTCTCTCTCTCTCTCTCTCTCTCTCAGACCACAGGGTCTCACTATGTGGTCCAGGCTGTTCTCAAACTTGTGATAATCTTGGTGACAGTGGGGTTGATGATTTGCTCTGGTCTCAGTGAGGACCTCAGAGGGTTCTGCTGTTGAGTCTGTTATGTAGCAAAAGAGAAAAAGAATCCAGCAGAGATGCCACACTCCACTTGGGGTTCTGTGGCCCCATGGTAATTGCTATGATTGACTGCGTCCCCCAGAGGCCTAGACCTAGAAACTTAGTCCCCACTGTACTAGGGTTGGGAGGTGGGATTTTAAGGGGTGATCAGGAGATGAGGCACCATGCTCAGTGCCGCTGCGGGTGGGCATCTGATACCATGAGGATGAGCTGGTTTTCAAAGCAAGTTTTTTCTGCCATGGGTTGATGCAGCAGGAGGCCTTCCCAGGTGCAAGTCCTCATGGCTTCCAAGGAAACCTCTGCTCTTACAGATTACCACTCTGAGGTTTCTGTTGCTGCAGTATTTTTTGCATCCATCCCTGATTTCTGATCTGAGAGAGCACATCCTGCTGGACTGTGATGAATGAGTAACCTTTAATGTTCTTGTCATATGGCATCTTTCTTTCTGTAATAAAATTGCAGATCTGCAGGCGGGTTGCCCTATGGGTCCTGTGAATTTTTGTCAGTGGAAAGACCCTGTTTAACAGCCCCTCTTGGTGTTACCCTGCAGTCCTGAGAGACAGCTGACAAGGGAGCCCAGAAAAGGTCCAGGATCCAGGGACAGTCACAGGGCCAAAGAGTAGCAGTGCTGCAGTTGACACAGGAGCTCTGGTTCCAAACCCCTTGCTCTTTCCCCAGTGTTCTCCTCTTTCCCTGTTATTTTCTGGTTACGAGAGAGGATGAATGAGCCTTGATTGAGAGGCATCTTGGACCAGCACCACGCTGCATGCTGATAGCAGAACTGTAAGTTCGAGTGGCTGCATCCCCAGGAGAAGATGATGTCACCTCACATCCTGGACCCACACTGCCACTCTTTGGCTCATGGCCTACGGTGGTCAGCATTGTCCACTGTAATGCAAGCAGAAGAGGTTTCATGGTCTCAGCACAGGCTCCTGGGAGGAGCCGCTGAAGCTCATTTCTGGGAAGGCGATGATTCAAGGGCAAAGTGAGTGCTTTGTGCGTCCAGACCTCAACCGCACGCAAGACTTTGCAGCTAGTACAGTGACTAATAAATCTTTTGAGTGCCTTTTCTTCTTCAAAGTGTAAGCTTTGGGCAATTGTAACTGGACTCTTAATTAAGATGCACTTGTAAGTCAAATTGCGTTGAAGCCTCTTTCTTGCTCCCTGGCACTGGGATCACCAAAGGAAGCTTCTAGAGATCCAAATTGGGAAGGTAGGCACATCGTCTTGGGGAGAGCTGGCCCTGACCCCACAGTCCCTCTGTTACTGCCCAGCTGGGCTCCTGGGGTAGGTCAAGCAAACTTTTCTGTGTAGTGAATGTGTTGGACATTCTGTGAATTGTATCATAGCAATTGCAGTATTTTTAGCATGTGGAACCTGGTCAGTTTTTATTGCTGCTATTGCTATGACTGCTTCTACTTTTTTTTAATAGCAAGGGAACCGGAAGAACTGGCATGACTATCTATCTGGTCAGTCTCCAGAGCATCTGCCTAAAGGTTTTAGAGTCAGTTCTATGATCTTGGCCATGACTTCACCTTGGAAAGAGATGCTATGGAAGTCCCCTTTGCTTTGTTTGTGGCACCATCATTCCGGTCTCTGGTTTCACTCTTTCTTGGCCTTCTGAGCGTAAGCAGGTCTCTGTGTCCTGCCTTCTCCAAAGGGCACCGGTCTCCGCTAACCAGTTACCCCTGTGAACACCGTTTCCAAGCAGGTTGCTGTCTAAGGTCCTGGATGGACACAGAGCTTCAGGGGACACTAATCAGACCACAGTAGTAACCAGCACTGTGAAAGCAGCAGAGGGAGAATGTGGTCTCCCATTGTTGCTGTCCTCTGTCCTGAGCATCGGGTGACCTCAGAATGATCCTGTGGTGGACTGACAACTGGTGTTCAATTTGTAACACACAGCTGAACTGAACCAGCCTGGTACTTGGTGTGTGAGTCCCACCTGAGGATTGGTGCCAACAATATAAAAATGAAAAAAATATATATAAAAATGAGACAGACCTGGAGAGGAAGAAGTAGGCTGTTGGGGAGCTGCTGGTTCTCCTCGGTCTGCTGGTTCTCCTGGGTCCTGCTGGTTCTCCTGGGTCC